AACGTGCAGGACCAATTGATGTGTCCTCTACCTATCCAGCCTAAAAATAGATGAATAAGGTTTCAGTATTAATTTTAAATGAAAAAAGCGATTGTATATACAGCTTTCGTTCAGTTCGTAGTTTTCTATGTGTAAAAATCATTAAACTCACAGAAACTAAAAAAAAAAAATAGTAACCTTCCGAAAGTATAGAGATTGCAGGCTTTAAAACTCTTTTTTTAAATTCAGTTTCGTTTATTTTTACACATTAGAAAATTACGAACTGAATGATCTGAAAAATCTTTATCTCACTTTGTGTGTGTGTGTGTGTGTGTGTGTGTGAGGTTGTTACGTGCCTAAAAAAAATTTTCAACTTTTTCATGTAAAAGCTTGAAGTTTTCCGTACAAAACCGCTTTTTAAAAATGTTTCTACAATTTTTTATTACTAAACTATCGTGGATTAAGTAAAGCGTAAGCATTTTGACTTTAATTGCTCATAACTCCGTTAAAAATCATACCGTAATTTTAAAACAAGATTCTTAAAGCTAAAACTTTGCTTTATTTGATAGTGTCGTTGACAAAATTTTTTAAGAAACATGTAAACATGATGCAAGTGATTTAAAATATCATATTCTTTATTTCTTAGATAAATGTCTAATATCTGTTTGGCCAAGGCTGTATATTGTTTTTTATAATAAACAAATGAAGAAAGCTATATTCGATCAAGACAGATTTTTTTTTAGTATTTAATAATATTTTTGTACGAATTTTACAATTTCCAGTTTAAACAAACTGCGTGTTATTTGTTGGTTTCGAAATACAGTTCTAAACTGAAAAGAGCTACGTAATATCACAAATTAAATGAGCAAGCAATCAATGTTTTTACACAATATGTTTTTTAATATCAATATCAAATATAAAATTGCTTTTTAACTTAATTTGTGATATTACGCACTCTAGCTTCAATTTAGGACTGTGTTTCAAGATCGACAAATATAATGTTAAATGAGGAAGAGAGAAGTGCAACAAAAGGAAAACTGAATTTTTATTTTTATAAAATTGATTAACATATTGTTATTATATAATATGTTACAGGTACTAATGTAATATTAATAACTTACGATCTGGGAGGATCTGGATCTTTTAGATCTTATTCCAGATTCTGCAGCCGTCAAAGCCATAGTTACAGCAACCATTACAACAAAAAATAATAAGTTAAGCTTCATTTTTCAGTTTTACAAAACTTTTGTATTTTGCGTGTTTTGTTTACTATTTTAATAAATAAAATCAAAAATTCTGTATTTATACATATTCTGAAAACTGATAATGTGAGATTGCAATAAAAACTGATATACGTGCTGCACGAATTTAACGCATATAACATTTTGAATACTATTCGTATGACATAATAACAGAATAAATACTTAAAAATTACATGTGCGTGCGTGCGTGTGTAAATATAACTTTTAAACTCTTGGGTTATACGTGACTTATTTTATTACTATAAATATCACAGCTTGTAATGTAAAATTGCATGATAAAGCAAGTTTGAGATTAATAAAATGTCAAAAAAATTAATTTTACTTCTACTCTATTACTCTCTATCAAATGTTTAAGGTGGTTATGCCCCAACTATGCGAGTCAACTACAGACTCAAACATAACTATAAATTTAAATCAATATAAGTAAGAATGTGGACAATGCTGTAAAAGATATTAAGAGTATTCTCATAGTTTCATTAATTATAAGTAATGTTTTTTGTGGTGTTTTATTTTTTTTTATAAAGTTACGATTTCTATATCACTACAGATTGCAACGAAGTAACGGTATTGAGTCATACAAGATAATGCACGTGCCACACGACACAAACATATTAAATTTTTAAAACATTTTTTACTGATATGGGCAACAAAGTTAGAATAGTTGTAAAGTTCTCTTGCATATTTTAATATTAATAGACATCATACGTAAAAATTTATATGCACGTGCCACACGACGAGCATATTAAATTTTTAAAACATTTTTTACTGATATGGGCAACAAAGTTAGAATAGTTGTAAAGTTCTCTTGCATATTTTAATATTAACAGATATCATACGTAAAAATTTATATGCACGTGCCACACGACGAGCATATTAAATTTTGAAAACATTTTCTACTGATATGGGCAACAAAGTTAGAATAGTTGTAAAGTTCTCTTGCATATTTTAATATTAACAGATATCATACGTAAAAATCCATATAATAATATTTAACAGTAAAATTAAATGTTGACTTATTTTCTGTACATACTTGTTAAATATTAATTATTATTCTGATTTTTTTATAATATCTTTTGTTAAGTCATATTAAATTTTTATGTACAGAAATACTAATTATTTGTTTAAATTATATTATATCTTTGATTTTAAATACAAATTTTTCTACAGAAATTACTGTTTAATAACATTGGCGACATGAAGGCATTACAAAGCGCAATTTTTAACAAAAATGCAATTTCTTTATGCCATTGAAGCACATTAAATCATTTTTTATATTTCTGATATACTTTATTATGTCGATAGTAAGGTATAACTTTTTCTATAAATTGCTTGTCAACTAAGGAAAGACAATTCAGAAGCTACATAACACGTAACAGTTTCAAGCAAAAAAATCCAGGATGAAGACTGTAATTTTCTTATTCGGGCTTGCGCTCGTTGTCGCAATTATCATCCCGACTAATGGAGGACCTATTGCTGTTGCCGAAGCAAATGCCAAGGCTAATCCCGAAGCAACTGCCGAGGCTAATCCTGAAGCAGCTGCCGAGGCTAATCCTGAAGCATTCGCCAACGCTAATCCCGAAGCATTCGCCAACGCTAATCCCGAAGCATTCGCCAACGCTAATCCCGAAGCATTCGCCAACGCTGATCCCGAAGCACTTGCTAAGGCTATTGGTTTGGCTGATCCCAACGCACTTGCTAAGGCTATTGGTTTCGCTGATGCCAACGCACTCGCCGAAGCTATAGCCGAAGCAGGACATCATTTATGATCATGATAATAATGATGAATGATAGCATCTAAGGTATAGTAATAAAATCTTGTTTACTAATTTTAAATAATTTGGCTATATTTGTCAAATATGTACCTTTTTGTTGTTTATGTGTTATTGTAAAAATAAGCAAAGAATTTTTTTGTATTTTGTAAGTTTAAGACTTAGTAAGCAGAGAAAACATTCCAGCAATATCGTAACCTATATTACAACATACACACATTCCAATGTTTTTTGCTTACTAAAGACTAATTGTAACTAATATTTCGTAAATCATTCACAAAATATTGGTTACAATTAGAAAATTCAGTTACAATATTGTTGTAGTATTGTTGGAATATTCTAAAATGTTTCTTGTTTACTGAATAAATTAATTATTATTAGCAAAAAAAAAATTAGTAACACTGCCCAACATGGAATTTAGAATTGGACAAAGTAATATTTATAGATTTTTAAGAAAATTGAACTTAAAAAAGCTGTAAATGGTATTTTAAAGTATCTATGAGCTAAAAGAGCTCAAGACTATGACGTAGATAGAGCTATTTCAATAACGAATGCGTTTTTAGTGATTAAAAACTATATAAAAATCATCTTTTCCAATTCGTGATAAGTTTTTTAATGTTGGATAGTATAATTAAAGTAATTAAAAAATTTAATTTGCAATTAAAATGATTTGTCTATATCTTTACGCAAAAATATTTAAAATATATATTTTTATACAGTTTTACCATTCGGTAACGTTTAATTTTGCAAACTTTTTTTACATACATTTATAAAATTATACAAAATAACAAGAAATAAAAATGAAAATCGAAAACATAACATAACGTTTTGAAACTTTTCTCTTATTTTGTATTAATTTTGTATTATTTTGTTTATTTTGTACTAATTTTGTATTAATTTAAAATTTATGTTATCAATAAATCAAGTAATAGCTTTATTAATAAATATTTGTATTGTAGGAAGACGACAAACAAACAGCGAGAAAGTCAATTTTAATAGAAGAATATACGTGAATATCTAAATAACCGCAAAGCTGATGACTTGATATTGAAAAAGCTATACGTATTGCACGAATTTAACACATACTATTTTTAGATATTATTTGTATAACATTATAACACAAAATAGAAATACTTAACAATTTTGTCGAAATTATAATGCCTAAATTTTTAGGTCTTAATTTGTGATTCTTTTTATTATTACCAATACCACAATTTAAAATATAAAATTGTATCATAAAAAATAAATATAAAATAAATAAAGTATTAAAAAATAAATAAGTTATTTTTTATATTTTTCTTCCTACGATATTACTTTATTAAGGATAGGTACTAATTGTAAGTAAAGATATTAAGTTTAGGTATAAGAGAAAAAATATTTTTCAATAAATGAATATTTACATTTGATGGAGATTATTTGTAAAATATACAAAAACTATTCTTTTATTTCAAAATAGAATTAAATAATATTTAGATTAATTCGATACCTGTCATATAGTTTGTGTTATTTTTTAGTTAGTTGAATTTTTAATTTAAAATGTATGATTATTTATTAATTACTGAAGAAAAAGGGACTTTTTAGATTACAGATTCTATTGATATTACAAATGTTATTTTGTAAAGAAAACATTTCAATTTTTATAATTTGCAAGAATTTTTTGCAAGTATTTTTCTCGTTCTTAATGACCTAATTCAAAACGCTTGTAATAGTAGCTAGGACTCTTAAATCACGATTTTTACATTGCTACAGATTGTTAATGAAATAATAACATTAAGATATAATTAATTAAAAAATAAAAATTAAAAAATATTGTATTATGAAAATGTTACGAAACGTAATTTTAACAAAAATGCGACTTTTTTATGTCATTAAAGCACATTAAATTATTTTTTTATATTTTTGATATGCTTTATTATATTGATAGTGAAGTATAACTTTTCCTATAAATAGTTTGTCAACTATGTGAAGACAATTTAGAAACGTAACGTAACACTTTGCAATTTCACAAGAGAAAAAAGCAGTATGAAGACTAAAATTTTCTTATTTGGACTTGCGCTTGTTATCGCAATTATCATTCCGACTAATGGAGGACCTATTGCTGTTGCCGAAGCAAATGCCGAGGCTAATCCTGGAGCAGCTGCTGAAGCTAATCCCGAAGCAACTGCCGAGGCTAATCCCAAACCAATTGCTAAGGCTTTTGCCGAAGCTAGTAAGTACAAGGTATGTTACCAGTAAAATATAACATCTATAATAAATATAAAAAATAAATAATCTTATTTTTAATTTAAAATAATTTGATTGCATATTTAAAAAATATTTTTTATCATTTATTTAGTACTTACAATTAATCATCTATATTTAAAAGTAAACCTATCCTGGTAGCAAAGCCTGCGGAAACAGATTTGGGGCAGAGCCTGCTGACAATTTTTGATTGCAGACTGGCAACAAATTGTAGACAAAGTCTGTATTATCAGATATTGTTAGCAAACTGCTGACAACGTCTGCTGACATGTTTTACCAATAGATTGGTAGCAAAAACCGAGCAGAGTCTGCTGCCAATCTGTCGTCAAGTTCTGTCGGCAGCCTCTGTTCACAATCTGTTGTCAGTTCATGTCAGCAGACTTGTTGTTAGCAGGTTAGCAGCAATTTACTGACAATATCTGATAATACAGACTCTGTCTACAATTTGTTACCAATATGCAATCAAAAATTGTCAGCTCCAAATCTGTTTCTGCAAGCTTTGCTATTAGGATCATAATATGCCCATTATTTGTTATTTATTATAAGCAGTAAATGATTAAAATAATTGACAATTAAAAAGGTTCGTTTATATATTATATTTGCACAAAAATATAATACTTATTAATGTTTTTACGTTCTTTCTTACTATCGAATCGTTTAATCTAGTAAATTTTTTATGTTGTGATGTACATATTTAAAAAATACAAGGTGCCAAATTAAAAATAATCACATTTGCACATAACATTTTAAAACTCTTTACGTAACATGATTTTTATTAATATATAATTTGTATGTCATCAATGAATCAATTAATTTATTAAGAAATGTGTATTTTTGTATATAGGAAGAGCTTAAAGATGCATGCACAAATGTGTTAGTAAAAGTAGGGGAATATATTTTGCACAGATGTAGAGATCATGACTTTCCACATGTTTTGAAAGGTCCAAGGTAATAATAAATAAAAAATTAATATATAATAACTGAACATTTTTTAATTTTTTTAACATGATCATTATTTTAATACATTAAAAAAATTTATTTTAAAGATATATATCTCTAAAATTAAGATATTTTTTTCTCAGTATATTAATTTTAATTCTTTTTGTTATCAATAAATTAATTAATAGACGGAAATAATTAGTTACTTATAATACCGTTATTTTCCTTATTGTTGCTTTGTCGTAATAATTATTTGGCAATGACAATTACTTTTATGATTACGGCAGTAACATCAGGGTGGAAAGTCAATCGATTACTTCATAAAATGAAAGTCATTTCTAAAAAAATTAACTCGCATTTGGAACTCGTTACTTTTCAGTTGTTTACTTGTAACGACTAATGAATAACATTACTCGTTACTCGTTACAAATTACTTTATTCAGTAAGTAAACGCGTAACGTAAGTTATTTTTTAAAGTAAATTTTCGAATCTTAGCGCAATCTTAGTCTTTAGTTAGTTATTATTATAAAAAATTGTAATGTTATTATCAAATTGTTATTACAAGAATTAAGGAAAATAGTAATTCGAGAGTAACTCTTTCATCCCCTGTATCAAGAGGTTTATTAAGAAATACACATTTTTATTGCAGCAAGAAGGGAAAGAAATCTTAGCAATATGGAATTATACTAATCAGTAATCATGGAGTTTAAAAATATTGCTACACACACACACACACACACACACACATAAAAATAAAGAATAATGAAATTTCATTAATGTCTAATATATTGTCAACTTTATGTTTATAAAAATAAACACCTGTTAATTTCAAATAAACACAATAAGAAAATTAATTTATTTATTATTAAGTTGATTAATTATTCTTCGCATAAAAAGTCGTAAACCGTTAAGTTTACGAACATCATGCATAGAAACTTTTTTGAAGAGAGTTTAAAGGGCTTAATTTTTTGTTTGAAACTTCTTTTTATCAAATCAATATTTTCTGACCTTGTTCCCAGCTAATTATGCAGTCATAGGGTTCATCGGTCAACGGTCAGATAATTGCGATATCGTAGACTCGAGACCGTCAATCGAATGTTACCGAAGATATACCGTTACTGCCCGTCACTTTCGGGCGTCCATTGACGAGCATGGAAATTGAAACCGTGTCACCGGAAGTGGGGCTTTCAGTAGTGGCGAGCGTATAACGATTAACGTGTTGGAACTCTCTGTGGACATCGCAAACAGGAAACCTCTCGTTCATCAATTCGGCGCCCGATATAATTATCATGAAACCAATTAATAACACGGTATGGAATACGAATACTTAATCCGATCTCGAATCGGGTGCGGAATTGCACTCCTTAATCAACGAGAGATCATTGATATCGGAGCCTACGCTATGTAATCGTAACTGTGAAATAATTCTAACGTAGTAGTATTTAAATGAGGATTGCCTAGAACTTTGCTCATCGGACCGTGAAATGTTTCACACGATTCGTGCGAGCGCCGTTTCTACATCCTTCGCATTGTTTCGAATTGATTAAAAGAGAACGTTAAACGATTTGTGGTATCGAGGTCAAAGGATCATTAAAATGTATAGGAGTGGCTATCGGATTATTTTAAAACTTTATTATCTCATATGAGGATTCAAATTCAACTTAAAATTATTTTAATAACTGTTAGATCAGGTATTTTAATAAGAATATACTAAGAAACTTTGTTCAAATAATATTTATATAAAGAATAAATCATATGAGTTAATAAAAAAATCAAATAAATTTCGATTAATTAAAATTAATTTCTTCTACATATTTATCTATTGCAAAAGATTAAAAACTGCTGCAAGCAATACAATCGTATAATTACACGATATTTTTAACTTTTATAGAAAATTTTACGAACACGTGTGTGTACTTTTCTTAGAATCGGCACATATTAATTTTTATACATATAATCACGTAATGATACAAGATTATTCAACTATTTCTATTCGGCAGGATAAAGTCAAAGAAAAAAAAAAATGAAACACTGTAATGAGACACTATAATTTTTTTTTTTCACAAAAGAAGATTCTATTAATCAGTCTTTAATTATTCCAAGTATTGTTTCCACAACTCCTCGCAAACTGGTTTCTTTACAAATTGAAATTCTTCATTGTTTTATGTAACATCATTTGCACATGATTCGAACACTGGACTTATTCGGTACGGTTCCATTCTTGATATATATTAATGACTGTTTGCTTCAAGTGGCACATCCAGACGATTTTTTCGGGAGCGACGTATGTAATAGCTATTTTATTCACGTGTATAAATCAAAGTCTGCGCCATACGGCCAGCTCGTAAATATTTCCAAATAAATTATCTTAAGCTATAGCTACGCGACTGTCAAGTCGTGCGATTTTTACTGAACACTTTTGACGATTCTCATTCACGACAGTCAATGTTCTGCATGTTTGGTTTATCGCACTTTCACACGATCCGTTGTAAATTTCTCACACTTGCCGGTTAATAATTAGTGCGAGATTGCGATTTCATGTGAACGCGTCGAGTCGATTTCCTCTTCTATTCCCTTTTGTAATAACACGGATCGATGGTTATATTTCTCAATGCTTATTCCATCGGAATCGATGCTGGGGCGAGCCATCGAGAACGCTCGATCGACATGCGAGCGACCTCATGGCGTGCCTGTTGTCTAACTCACAAAGCGCCGATGGTCGATAAGCAAATGGTCCTTTTCGTACAAGACGCTCGTTTACGCGAAATAAACGCAACGCTTTACGACACATGTGCGAGGAATAGTTTTCCCACTCTCGCCGTTATTCACCTATGTGAGATCGGAAACTTGAGATTACCATTTAGCAGGTGAATTGAACGCAGGGATCGTAAATCCTCCGGGAATTGTTTAAAACTTGAACTTAGGCCGGTGTCACGGAAGAAGACTGCTTCTCACTGGCCTTTTGTTGTAATCGTCATCGATGTCATGAAGATCAGGTGGATCCGCGAAACCGCTGTCCTCGTAACGAGTACAACGTGAACCGGGCGATCTCGGCGGATGGACCGGATGAATGCTGCAATAAGAAAAAATAAGAATGACACAAGTATTTGAATCCGGGATGTAGAAAAACATAAAGACTGATACGAAACTGACTCGTATAATGTAGAGGAGAATGTCCTAAATTGGACCGTGTTCTAAATAAAATCTTTTTAATTTAAATAAATACGGTTAAACAGATTTGCGTGCTATTTATAATGTAAAGTCCTTATAAGACATGGAACATGTGACAGCAGTTTGGTAATACTCTGTCATAACGTTCATAAAATAGACGCAAATATGTATTTTCGGCTAACATGTAAAAATTAAAAAAAAAATCTTTGTAAGAGTGAAATAAAGTCATGTGATATCATTCAATCAGTATGTAAATATAAATTAGGCAAGAGAGAGTGCTATTGTAGAAAATATTATACAATGGCACTTGCTCCTATCTGATTATCACCTGGTGCATCTCGAAGGACTCGTTTCCAAAGGTTCGTCGTATCTACGAGAGAGCATCGTAAAGTCTCGATGAGCTGCGACCATTTTCTGTAGCCGCGAAATGATCTCGTAATCGGGCGTGCAGATTGGCTCCGACAATAACTTCGCCACGGAGACGCGAAAGCTCTGAAGCTGAAACAGGAAATGACCAATTTGCTTGAATTGAATCATGCTTGTAACTTATAGATACTCGGACTATCGCGCGATTCGTTCGAGTATCAATCCTTCTATCACAAATTTCGCGCATTTATAAGACAATTGTTTCTGAGCAGACAGACAAAACGTAAGCATTTCAATTGTTATAAGAATATTTTTGTTATACAAATATTTAGAACAAAATATTATTTTATTTCACACAGTTTACAAAATTGGATAGGTATATAAAATTCACATAAAAAAATTCAAATACTAAGATTCAGCTTATATTGTAGATTTTCGTTACTTACCATAGTTGTGTATTTATGTATCACGATTTTATAATATTTTGTTTATATTGTTTTATGTTATACATGAAATCCAATTATTTTTGTAGATTTATTAATATTATTAATTAAAGTTAATTAAAGTTTACGATTTTATGTTAGAGTACCGACAAAACTTTTTCCATTTGAATAATGATATTTCTCTTTCCATTTTTCTTCTTTTATTTACATTTTTCTGAAGTTTTAAATGTTGTTTTAATAGTTTAATGTGATAAATACGAAGATATTAAGACTCAAGTGCCTTAAGTATAATTTATTATAATTAATGTTCGCTTATTCGAACTAAATCAAAGTTTCGCGACTCTTCGAAAAGCGAAGTTACGGCAACGACGGGATAAAGCCTCGCGAAATCGCATGCAAGATTTACAGTCCTTTCACGGAGTATGCCGCAACACGGGTTTAAGTCCAAGGAGCTATCTGCTTTACAGCGCGGCGACGCGCGAACGTGTCTCGAATTACTATGATGTAGAGTCAACTCCAAATCGTTCTAAACGAGCGTTATGGACCCAACGAGACAGAGAGAGATCACGCAATTACGCAAATGATTGTCGCGTCGTCGCGAATTATTGGAATTGCTACAATGAATTAACGAGCCGCTTTTGATCTTTGCCTTTGTGGAATAATAGAAATAAGCTTTGTTAAAAGCGCTTGTCCCTTTAATAAGAGATCAAAATGTTTTGAACTCGCAACAGAGAATCTGTTGGGTTACGGAGAAACAATTAACGAATTAAACGATATATTTCTGGAACATAACATGAATTTATATCATAGCTTTCTTTAGCTATTTGCGAAAAATTGAAACAACTTTATATACACATTTCTCTTTCTCGGAAGAAAATGTATATATTATTTCAATGTATCGAGGAAGATTTACATAGCTTTGAAAAATGGAAATTCAAAAAATGCATGTGTATGTGTAATGCATCAAAGCAGTTTGTCTACGATGCAACGAACGTCCGTGATCGTTTCGACAACAACTTCTTTTACGTAATTTAAACGTTCACAACGTTCCGTATTCGTACACGATCATAAATCAGAATTACGTGAGTACCAATACGCGTGCCGAATATACAATCTGACATTGAGACGCGGCTTTCGCCTTTTACGTTTTTCAACCGATAAAGTAAACGTCACACAAGGTAATTTCTTGATAATTAATTTCAGCATTTGTTCCGACTAACAAATTTATTTGACTTTACATAATAATAATATATCTCATTTTTTATTTAGTTTCATTAATGGAACGTCAACGTGGATTTATATAGAGAGACAGAAGATGGAATAGCACGTGCGATATCTGACACGTACAAAAGTAATAATGTATCTCACCTGGGATTCTCGTCTTGTGACCTCGGAAAGATTTTGCTTGACCTGAGCCATCTCGTCGCGGAGGAGCTGTAGGGAATGGTCGTTTATCGATCTCTCCTGATCGGCTGTCTCCGCGGTCGTCCTCATCTGCTCCTTCGCCATCGTCAACTTTCTGTTGTAACGTGTCCTCAACATCTCGCTCTCAACGAGACGTTTTTGAAGCTCCTCTATCTTCCGACTGCGTTCCAGCGCAGCTATCTGCTCGCAGAAAATATCATAAAATATCTGATCGATAGCTGCAAATTATGAAGACTTTCTTGCACGATTTCTTGTAAAAAGAATTTATTCAGGAATTTTGTTTTCCCGGCGTACGTCACTTCGCAACATTCGCGAGCATAAAATCGATTTAATGAGGCTTTCTATAAAAAAGCACAGAACAGAAATGTTAAATTATTTAAAAAAATTGAATGAAATATTTCGTTAACCGGAAGAAAATAAAATCTCACGGAATAATGAAGTTTACGAATGCATTAAAAATTAATGCAGCTAATTTCATTGATCAACAATAAATCACTTTTCTCAAAGTGCCATAGTCGGTATATATATAGGTATATCTTAAAGATTTTTTCACGCTAAATTCGATGTCAGTAGCAGAATTTGCGTAGTATGTCACAATTTTTTTAGTAAATTGAATGTAATAGTAATAATTAATGTAATTTTTTTGCTCATTAAATTTTGATAAAGGCATCATGGCTACGGCATTTCAGAGAAAATTAAGATGTTTTTCGAACAGTTGTTATTAACTATGATCCAGAAACATTACCTGGGACCACAGTATTGTATATGTTCCATATGTACTTCTCGAAGTACTTGGATTTATCTGATTGTGAAAAAAGTATGGACGCTTTTAAAATTACATACTTTATAATCCGCGGCTTCCGTCAATTGTGCGCTTAACTCCCGATTCCGCGATTTTTCCTCCGACAATTGGATCTGAAGTCGGTCGACCTGTTTCACTAGCTTCTTTGCGCTGAAGAAGAGGAAAAGAAAGAAATTCATTATCTTCTCTCGTTTTTTCGATCCGAATCTTATCGAGCATTAAGAGAAGCAATGTCTAATATACAACAATGAATGTAGAGGGATATATTCAACGTATTTGAAATAAACCACGGATTACTGAAAACAGAAATTACAGATAACCACCTGCAGTGATTACTGCGTGCAAAAATGATATCACATCTCGGATGCATAAAGCCACACTCTTGGACAGTAAAATTTTCCAATAAACCGCGATTCTCCCATCGAACAGTCAACAGGCATTGTTTTCATGCAATAACATTGCATGTTCAATAGATGGTAAATATTGAAGTCGATTGTAACACGAATTAATTATCGCAACATTGGCGATAGTCAGTTGCTGTTCAGGATACAGTCTTCGCAAACATCAAAATTTCTCGTGGTAATTATCCACTTTCCCGTGATGTACGAGAGCAGAAAAAGAAAAAAAAGAGAAGAAGAAAAATATAACTCTGTCCAAATATTATTGTAGTTTTTATAAATTATTCAATATATTTGTGAAGAGCAAGTTCAAAGTTTGTTTAAAGTTTTGTTTCAAACAAACCTCCGAGCTATTCTAAAACAAACCGTATATTCGCCTCGTCCCGCTCACTCTGCAATAGTGACTTCACTCTCACACTGTCCTCTTGTAGAGATAGTTTTCTACGTAGAAGGTCCAAATGCAGGTCTCTGCGCTGCAATTGCTCCCGTAAGGTTCGGACGCGACGTTGCAGCTGATAAACAACGGATGTCTGCGAAACAAAGAAAAAGAAAACCACATTTGTCGAAATCTTCTTAGTGGCAAAGACGATAATTTTCCCAAATGTATAGTAATGTGCAAATATCCATCACTACACAACGTAAAAATATCGAAATCAACTAGTTCCTCGTGCAATTATCAATTTAAATTTGGCAACACATAAGTCTTGAAAAATGACGAATGAAATAAAATAATAGTGAACAACATTAATAAGTGAAAATCGATCAAAAAATTTTTAAACGGTCAAAGAGGATCTTGATGCCTAATAATATTGTAAAAATAATTGTAAAAGTTTACACAAAGAAATATTATTAAACAAGCTCTACTTTGACCAAATATGGTCTTCTTCGCTTATTTGTGTTGAAAATAATAGTAACTTCTTCATGCGTAGCATGATTTTTCTATTGCACATGTCAAGTTAAATAAGCAATGAATAAAATACGAATTCAGTTTTCACGAAATGAGGGAACGTTCTGTTGAAGGAAAAGTCTGTTTTTGCTGACACGTTATTGGAGATTATTTAATTAAAAGTTAGTACACCGACCAATTTTATGTTGGATAGAGCGACCGCAATATCGACGCGCCACTGACAGCATCATAGAAGCTATATTAAATGGAACTTCATTACGCGATATTTCCGATAAACTGTCAATTTGAAACAACAATTACGTCGCAAGCAAAGCTCGACCAGCGTCCGATTCAGCCGCAAAGTATATCGGAAAATTTAAGAGGAATGGAGGAATGAAAAGCGTCTTTCTCTCTCTACGTTAAGGATGCTCCACGATGAAGGAATGAAATGAATGTCTACGAAGAGGATGCCTGAAAATTCTATGAAGTTTCTCTCTAAGGCGCTTTGCTTGCGCCAAGGGCTTACTTCTTTGAGACAGGGAAGCTCGTGGAACGATCGCTCGCGCCGAATCCTCGGTAAGGTCGTGTAGCTGGAGTACAAATACTGCGACGTGTGGTAAGCACACACGATTTGCACGACAAAGAAACACAAAACAAAGGAGTAAACGTTAGCAACGTGGGCAATGTGACAGCGGAATAGACAAAAATGTAATATCGATCGCCTTTCACCTTGTCGACTAGTTTGTCGGTCTCCAATCTGGCTAGTTGCTCGGCCCGCACCAACAATGTCTCAGTTTGAAGGTCGAGTCCGATTTCCTGAGATATCTCGTCCATTTGCATCGCTTTACTCAATCGATCCAGGAAGGTCATGAACTGAATAAATTTACAATAACATCAGCTACAATCAAATGCTTCATAGACTAAACAATGTATGTAGACGTTAGCTTAGAAATAAATAAAATTTTTTAGAAATTAGAAATTTATAACATTAAAAAGTCAAATTAGAAATTTCTGAAATATTGTTTCAATTTTTATAAAGCTACATCTTAAATAAAGGTTTATTGTATATTATTTTATTCAAAAAGACGAGAATAGTTAATTATATAATGTCTTTAAACCCTCATTCTTTATACTACGTGTCAAGATTGTTTTAACGTTTCCAAAAGAAGCGTTTGAAATTACCGTCTGCTTGTCTCTGCGTAAAGACTCTCTGGAGAGATCACTGCTCGTGAGTTCGGATTCGAGTTTGTGTATTTTAGCTTCTAGAGCTGCGCGTTCCTCCTCTAAACTGCGTACTTTCATCATTGTAGATTCGATCAGTTCACTTTGCCGATTCGTTGACTCCGTCGTCGTGTTCACTTTTTCTCGAAGACTTTGTATTTTCTAAAAAGAGAAAAGAACACAGTGAATTTCATATATTAATATTGTACATTACATACAACCGAAAATTTCAATACAAAATTCCTCAGAATTCCAATAAAATTCTCGATAATTAAAAAACTTATGACATCCGTAAATGGCATAAATAAAAAAGTTATATTTTTACAAATTTTAATTTTTTGCAAGCAATAGTTATACGCGTTCGGTTTTTAAATAGCTACCAGTGATTGATCCTTATTGTCAGCTAGAATTTCTCGAATGCGATCTTTGATAGCGTTTTCGTGGGACTCGACGAATCGGCTTGGTGTACTAATAAGAATCGCAACCGACTCTAAGAGGTGACGGAATTCATTTTGAACACGTTGCGTCTTCTCCTCGCGGACTTTCAGATCCTCTGCAAGAACGATACGGGTTATCGGAAAATACGAGAGCGAACCGATGTGATTTACCTCGTAATTGGCAGATCAACGCCTCTTGATTGGATATGTTCCCCGTTGCGTTAGTTAAACTCCTATTCGCATTCACGAGCTTATCTCTTAGATCGTTCATATCTTTCTCAGCAACCCTATATTGCATTTCCAGACATTCCTTTTCCTGGAATAACGAAAAATAATTAATAATACGGTATTTGATAATTTAATGGATTTTAATTGCTTAAAATAATTAAAATGATAGCCGCATTTACAATTTCTGGTAGTAGCGTTTATACATATAATTAAATGTACGAATAAGAGGTTCTTTCAAAATTAATCGTAAGTCGAATCTTAACCATCGTACCTGACGCAAACGATCTATGTCGACTAACTGAACTGACACTTGTCTCTGTAATTGCTCCTTTTCCGCAGTGGAGCGATCAAGAGCATCCCTACAGGTTCTGAAATCCACTTCGACGCCCGTCAATTGCGTCTCGACGTTTGTGCTCTTTGTTCGCAAACGATTCACTTCTTGCACGAGTTCTTCAGCTTTATGAATTACCATCTCCGGACTGTGATGCGCCGTCTCGCAGTACTCGACGTTCAATGCATGTGCCAACCTTCGTACGAAATCCTAAGATAGTAGAAATCTTATGAAAAGAGATATAAGAGATACCAAAAAAACAGTTTGAATACAGAGAGGCAAAATTGATACGATTTTTCTGCGAGGAATAAATGGAGATGTCGACAGCTTTTGTCGAGAGGCGCGATCGAATTTATGTTGAAACATACGGCACCTGCAGATTCAGACGTGCCCGTTCCTTCAATTGAATTTCCTCGGATATATTGTGCTCCAATTGTCGAACTTTTTTGTCATACTCTCGAACCTTTTCCTCGTAGTACTTTACATCACGTTGCAGACCCTGTATCGTGATTTCATTTCTGCCCTGGGACGCATAGAGATTTCTTTCTCTCTCTTCCAATTCCTGAAATCATTATTGAATTCTACAAGATATACTATATGATCCATCGACTAGAAATTTCGCGAATTTCGTTATCTTTTTTTAACGAAAGACAGCTGTGATGGAAGAAACGAATTATTATCTCAGAGCTGATTAACGCAAGACCTCATTAATCGTTTGCTTGTTAGGGAAACAAATTAACCTGAATGCGCTTCTTGAGACTGGAGATGACGGCATTCTGCCTGGCTGCTTGCTCACGAAGCTGATCCGCTTCTACCTGTAGCTCCACGACCCGCTGGTCCCGCGATCTCACGTTGCTTTTCATTTCCTGTAACTAAATGAGGACCGAATTGATTACTAACAATTATCGAAGCGGTGAAACGATAATCGGTTTACCTCAGACATAAGCCTGTCCCGTTTGTATTCAAGAGCCGCCAGCTCGCTCCTCAAGGTGGTCGTTAAATCGTGAGTCATAGCGTCGTCTGGGTCCATCTAAAACCAGATATTCGAATGTCGATTATCAAAGATATCAATACGAATGTTCATGCATGTTTCATATTTTATACATATTTCATCGAACTTTTTAGCATACCATGAATGATTTTTACAGATAGAAATCGAATGCTAATTTGAATTATCAGATGAAATTGAAAATATTATGATAGTCATTAAATCATCTACATTTGTGTCTAAATCTACATTAAACAATTAATAATCTTGCAAAAATGTGAGTTAGCCAGTGGTAGACATATTTATTTATTTACTGTATTTATTGCGATTTCATTACTTTTATGAATTTCCTCGTACGATTAAATTTTATACAACCTAAAGTAATAATTGTTAAATTATCGTATGCTGTACGACGTATACTGTAATCTCGTTGAGTTTTATTACAGGTGAGATTTTATCGTAAAGAATCATTTTATTTCTCGAAGCTTCCTGCGGGATGGAAGGCTTTAAAGCCAAAACGCTCGTTTAAACCGAAAATACATTAACAGCGGCCTCCGCGGTGCGGCTTCTGAAGTTCTGACCTTTCTCTCGTTTGAAGAGAATGTAGGATTCGCAAGTACCGCAGGTACTGACGACGTCTCTACCAGCGCGGCTCGTAATAATATCCATTTGAGCTTCCACGTGTATACGACGGAAACTTTACAAGACAGCTGAACATGTTCCTCGGCCATTATATACGTCTACCTGCTTGGAAAATTGCCGAAGAATATCGGCCGCGATATGGATAAGTTAGCTTGTTGGCAGCTATTTTTAGAAAGGTATTTCGAATTATCTCTTTCACAGTCCTTGGCTCAAATTAGAGAACTCACACTAGTTACTTCAAGATGTATGATATTCTAAAAACAAATTTTACTGTCGATATGATATTAAGCAATATCTCTGATTGAAAATAGTTCTGACATTTGATTTTTTTAATATAAAAACCGATCATTATCCATACTGCCCTGAAAAGTTATGCTTTAATCTTATATCAAACTTCTAACTAAGACAGATACAAATTAATTATCTTACAAAACAGCGGTTTTACTAAATTATTTTATACATTGATTACGAATTAGCCAACTATATAGTGCAATGAAATCCGATTCGATGCAGAATGATTAAATGGTCATTAGGCTAAATTGGGAGGATGTACATGTCATACGAAATGAGACGGATAAATCATATTATAATTATTACACAGTTAAATTTGTAGTGTCAAATTTAACCTAATGTGATTCGCCATTGCTCCTACTTAATTACATGATTATTTGTTATACTAAAACAGTGGTTATATTTAACATTATACAGTATCAATTGATACGATATAGTGTCAAATTTAATTATCATTTTAGTATAAAATAACGACATATTTAGTAGGAGCAGTAACGACTTATATTAGATGAAAAATTTGACACTGTAGATTTAACTCGACCATTTTGGCACCAATTATTACCGTCCTAATTAAATATTTACCAATGGTAACTCATCTCTACTCACGTGGAGTCGTTCGCTTTTATTTCCTTTTGATGCCGATTTACATTCGACGCGATTAATTATAATTTTTAACAAATCCGGCTCATTGCGGGATCTACAACGGAATTAAATATATCCCGCCGAATCACTCTTGCGATCTAAAATTAAATCCAAGTATACTCGTAAAGTCTAAACTCGTTTTGCTGTTAATTACAATCATAAGCGGATTTAAGACTTAACGTGCAAAAAGTATAGGTCTTTTTGTGTTTGTTGTTTTTCTACCCATTTCTCTCGATCTTATCTGCAAATTTGCAATCGCGAGGGTACTGTAATATAACTTCGATTATAATTATCTCACCCCGTCCGAATGCAAACGAAAAGCAGAAATAGAATCATCATAGAATATACACCGTGCGAAGTTTTGTAAATGGAAGCATCTTTATGCATACGAAATTTACTAATTACGTATTCACTCTATTACCGGTACATCTATAATACATCTTGAGCTGATTGAATTGTATGTACATTGAAAAGCAGATTGTACGATAATCCAAATCTTATATTCTCTTTACGCAATAAATTAAAAGAAATTTAAAAGCAAATGAATCTAATAATCTTATAATTTTATGATATTGTTTGATATAATAATAATAGTACAATAGTATTGTAAACATATTAGTATTTTCAATAACTTAATAAAATTATTCCTACACACACATAAAGCATGTCTCGTCAATTATTCTCGCCATCGGAATCGATCTCGTCGACGCAACTCGCTCGACGTAACAAGGCTCGTTCAAAAACATGATCAACTCTACCTCGTGTTGCCCGCCGGATCCATATCGTAGGTTCCCGCAGGAATTTCCGCTATACGATCGTACGCGACAGCGTTTCGTATTCCCCAAAGCACCCCGTGCTCTTGATCCAGATAGTACTCAACGGAGTTCGCACTCGAAGTCCGAATCGCGGATAACGTTGCCAGCTGCGCGAAGAGAAGAGAGAGAAGGAGGGCGCGCGTCGAAGATAAACCTCTACCATCGCCAATTTCCAGGGCAATCGAATGCGCACGGCACAGACAGTTACGATGGCAAAGTTTCGTCTGCCTACGACAGTGGATTACGTGACCCGAATCCACCGACGCCGCCGCTACCATCCTGAAACGAGCGACCTCACGACCCTCGTCGCCTTTCGCGACCTCGTCCAGGTATTTGTATCTGCACGCGAAAATCTATGCTCGCGAAATCTACGTCAGCTACCAGGGCAAGAATGTTATCCTGGAACTCGGCACAATGGAATACGCTTCCCGAAGTTAGCGTTTCCACAATGATATTTCTCGATGGTATCGCCATTGATTCCACACTGTAAACCTGAATGCTTATTTGCCGTATATACGTAATACGGGAAAGGGATGTGGGGGGTTATAAAGATACGAAGATATTCTCTGGAACTTTAAAGTGACAGCTTACTTTGAAATCTCGCTCTTAAAGATTGAGCCATTCTTTTTCAAAATTGATCTAATGTTCACTCCTTAAAGTGAAATTCTACTTTAAAAAATTTAGAGAGCATAGTTAAATTCGTAATTTTAAATTAGACCCAATTTAAATTATTTTTAATCATTTCTAGATTTCCACTTCTCCTATCTAATATTTCGTTATAATTTAACTAAAACGGTGGAGTTAAATAATTTAACTCGAGAAAATGAATTAAGTTAGATTCAAATTTAGTTTATTATTTATTTACTAAGTGCACACACACACACACACACATACACACACACATACATTAATATAAACGATGTTTACTTTTAAAACTAACCACAGAAATTGATCGATTTACATTTTGATATAAACGGAAGTTAAAAATAACAAAATACTATTTAACTAAAGATATCAAGCAATTATCATTGCTTTTTTGATATCTAAGTGTAAGTAAAACGAACGAAGTACTCCTAAGTACTTTATTTTTGACGACCCCTTGCTAATTAAAAAAGCTTTTAGTTGCTTTCATTTGCATATCAGTGCGGTCATTTCAAAAGGAAAATCTCTCACACAGACGTTGCATTCGCTTAGAGGATGAATTATAACGTCTATCACGTGTTTAGACGAGGGGGATATTTAATTCAATGTGCTTTATTTTCCTGGGAATCGGATTGAAATCGAGATCCTACATGCGCCACGATCAATTATCTCGCAATTCAATTACGCGACAGGTCATCGATCGGGAAATACGCGAATGGGATCGTTATCGTTATCTCTCCATAACCCGAAAATAGTTTCGATGCGCGCGGGTGGGAAGTGTGGTACGGTTTTGACGGGGGCGCATATTCCCGTATATCCCGCGGCATACCGTGAATTTCCATGGTGTGGTTAAGTCCAACGATATTGAATACCCATTATTCTACCGTTCATAAATCCCAACGGTCTCGGGACAGTCGCGGGATCCGGACGGGAAAACGATCGCGCGTGCGAACCCGACCTATTTACCACCGGTATTTACCTCAAAACACGCATGGGATTACAGCGGATCCCGCTCGCTGATAGATACACCGTGCACGTACTGGTATAAAAAAAAATTTGTAAATTTGCCACCAGGGAGACGGTTTTCTGCAGTATCATTTCACGGGTAACGCGCGAACTCGTGATTTTGCGCAACCGTAATAACACCGTAGTAAAATCGCAATGAGAGTACGTGAGCGTGTTGAGAAATACAATATTGTTAAAATAATTTAGATCTCGCTAAAAACTGACGTTATTCTGTGTGTGCCTTATAATCTCGCAGTCTATTAACAGCAAAAGGATCGATTAAAATAAAACATGTACGTACGTGTTTGCAATATTTTTTATAATGTTCACCTAAGTGGATATATAAATTGCATTAAAAAAAGAGTCCAATAGCAGCTTTCAAATATTGAGTGAAATAATTTCAATCAAATGTTCGATGAATATGCATACCTATATAAAAAAATAATTTCTTTTTTCTCTAGATATACTTAGTAAAACTAAAATAATGTTATTTTTACTAATTTAAATTGGAGGATTTTTTTAATGGTTAAAATGCGATATGGCATACAATATTTTAAAAAATTGTAGTCGGATGGTATCTATTTTTGGCGCAATAACGTGTTCGATCAGCATGATATTGCAATAGCGATGATATATTAATATACATATACGTCCGACGGTTCAAATTTTGCTCTATGTCGTGCACACGCAAGCAGAAGTTGTGGCATAAACGCGCGCAATGCATGATTATGCATACCCGGTTTTTGCATTTCGCCGATAAAGGTTTAGCAGCATTTTTCTTTTTATACTGAAATAAATTAGTGAATTCCCCCTTCGCTGAGAAGTTTCGTACGAAATTATTCCATATTGCGCACATTATATAAACGGATAAAATCCTCCAGATAGTACAGCATTACATTTACCGTTACAAAATGCAAAAACATAGTATTTTTAATTACACTAGCCTTTTCCTGCGCGCGCTACGCGCGCGATTCAGAATTATTGGAGATACACAAACAAATCTGG